CGATGTCAAGGAAGCCGGTGAAATCTATGAACTCCACGGTGAACTTCCAGGTATCGAGCAGAAGGATGTCGAAATCGAATTCATCGATGACCAAACCCTCACCATCCGTGGTCGTACCGAGCGCTCTTACACTTCCGGTACTCCACCAGCTGGTTTCGTCGAAGATGCACCCAAGTCTGGCGCCATTACTGAAGGCGGTGAAGCCGAACACAAAGACAAAGTTCACCAACCAACCGTCGAAGATGAAGATGAATCAACTCCAGCAGGCAATGACGCCAACACTCAAATTACCAAGGCCAGCGAGGAGAGAAAGGCCAAGGAACCTGATCACAAATTCTGGGTTTCTGAGCGTAGCATCGGTGAATTCTCCCGATCTTTCAGCTTCCCAGTTCGCGTCAACCAAGATGCAGTTCAGGCTAGCATGAAGAACGGTATTCTTAGCATCATCGTTCCAAAGGCTAAGAAGCAAGAAGGACGCAAGATCACCATTCAGTAAATCAATCACTTCTCTCGGTTTATCTGATCACTTCTACGATAATACGAATGCATTAACGGAAGGAAGGAAGCGAGGAGTATTTTGGCACTGGCATTTTCTTAGCGATGGATTAATTATGGTGTTTTAAGGGAGGAAAGGGAAAGGAACTGGAGGTGATAATGGAAGATTTGCTTGCAGGAGGAAATTCATGGTACTTTGCTACGAGTTTGACTTGCTCTTTATTATTCTTTGTTTGCTAGCAACTAATCCTATGTACTTACATAAAAAATAACAAAAAAATAGCACTTGATATCCAGATAATTTGTCTATCCATAGCCTTGTGAAATTTGAGTGTGAAATTTGAGTATAATTTTGAGTGTGAATACCTGACTTGAATGCATCTCCATCTTAATGCTACCTAATAAAATGCCAATAAAGAACAGTACCAGATTTGAAAGCCAACCTTTACAGCTTTCATTCTACCACAAATCTGTTTGGGCTTTGATTTTGACCCAGCTTGAGTTCAAAAGATCAATTTAAGGTTTGTTTAATAGTTGCCACTGGCATCCTGTTAAGTATTTGGGCGAAATGAATTAATCAGAAGCGATGTCTAGCAGACCATTCTATCATTTTTTATTCAATTTCATATATGAAAACTCCCACTTTCTATCTGGTCGATTAAACTTACAGGCAGCCTGTCATTAAGTGATATTAACAGTCGAGAACCCTCGATCTACACTCTGATCACCATCTGGCCATTTCGTTTCAGATGATTTCACTGCTTACCTATTCCTTTAGGACACATCCACTGAATCCACACTCCTTCATCTTGAATCTTGATTCTTGACACCACCACTGAGACACCTGATAGGATAAGCGATCCAAAACTTCCGTCACCTGCACAGTGCACATCTAAGACCTGACGCGAAAGCTTCATTTCAACCAACGTCTAAACCTCCATGCTGATAAACAAAATTAACGCAATCCATGATTTTGACGTCAATCGCTCGAAACAATAAACATAAGTTGGACCTTGAAACTTCATGATGAAAAAGTCATCTCGTAGATATTGCATCTGGTCCATCCGTGTATTGTAACCGTAGCGGTCAAGGCCCGTCCAAATGATTGATTTGAGGACAAACCTACATATACCTGGATTTTTCATATAAAAATAAATTGACAGACGAGGGCAAAACCGCCAAACAATTATTAAATTCCATAGAAGCCCTAATGAGATGTCGATCCCCAGAGCCTCGAACGTGTGGGATCGATATCATTGGTTGTTTATCAATGGATTGAATCTTGATGATAGTACCTTACTCTGTACTACTTCGTACTCCTAGCAATCCTACGGTATCTAATTGATCCTTCCGCAGAACGTATCATTCCAGACGTCTAAGAGATTGCTTGGCTGGGGGAGAAACAACGTTCACTCCCACACTGCCATGCCGTGCCCACTGCCCAGCCATGTTATCGCGATTGTCATGAACACATCGGTGAACTAACTACCATGATCCAGGAACCATTTGAGAAACAACATGGGGTTTAATCTTAAGCTGCTGCAGGGGCCCGCATGAAATACCTCCGATAGCCCTGCAAGAACCCGTCCGCCCGTCAATTATGATTTGTCTAGATTTCTGGAATATCAATATTTGAACATTTTAGATTCGCTCTCGTCACGCTCGTTCGTGTCTTCCTGATGAGTTTTCTTCATGCTGTGGACGGATTCGTATGATGGAACGATAGATGTTGACTCTTGAATCTATTAACGGCTACTATGTATTCTTATGTTTTAATAGCACGGCAGGCATCTATGTATCAATAAATTGTTATTAGTTGTTCATCTTTTGGCTAATTCAAGCTACAAATGACGTTTTTTCCAATTTCTCAAATCGCTGTCTAACATTCACCAATGATAGATTCTATTTGGCTTCACTCAATTTCATGATTCTAATGAGAATCTGGAAAACAAACAAAGGTATGGATTCCCTGCATGCTCCAACCTTGACAGGACTGAGTGGAGCTTCGATTCTTCGACGATTAGATGAAGTTATAATTTCTATGCGGACATCGTGCCAAAACGTGTAAATCATACAATTTTCTGCCACAAGCGATGTATCCATGCCGCCACACCAGTGTTATAATCATATCACAGAAGATATCGACCCTAAAAGGTTCAATCTACCTATCGCCAAGTACAAAAAAAGTAGTAACCTATGGGTTAGTTGAAAGTGAATCCAGACTCGACAGCAAGGGCCCATGGGGTTGTACGACAGGAACAAGAGGGAGATTTGCCATGGAACCACGATAGATTGCAGCCCCAATCACATCAACGAATCGCCTCATTCCCGTGCAGTCTTCCCATTTCCTCATTCAAATTGTGGAAGAAATGAGAATTGGAGACGGTAGAAGGTTGTCAATCTCCGCTTGGTGGGTCGGGGAGATTCACTTTGTGGGTCGACCGGGGATTCGTTATCAAAGGGGGGAATGACCCGGGATATCACCTTTGATGGCCTTTATACCTGACAATTAGACGCGTGTATATATGACGCTGCCGTTCGTCTGCAGTTCATCTTTTTCTTTTTTCCGTATCCATCGATCAGTTACACTCAGTTACACTATAGTAATCACACACACTCATTTAAAAAAAACAATCAACCTCTTCAAAATCCAAACACTTTCTCCAAACCAAAACCCAAACCAAAAAACTTCAATCTATCAAAATGCAGTTCAACATCCTCGCCCTTACCGTTGCCGCCATGGCCTCTGTCGCAGTTGCCACTGAGTAAGTTCTTTCGACTTCGAAAATTTAGATCGAACCCAATACTAACGATATCCATAGGACTGTCACCGTCTACGCTTGCCCAAGCTCCACTGGTCTCTCCGGCTCTTCTGCCACCGCTGGTGCTTCCTCTGGATCTTCCTCCGGTGAATCTTCCGGCCTCACCTCCGGCTCCAACCCATCTGGTGTTGCTGCCCCTAGCGGTGTTGCTGCCCCTAGCGGTGTTGCTGCCCCAACTGCCTCATCCGGTGTCGTTACCTCCCCATCTGGAACCAGCTCCCCAATTGCTTACGCTACTGGTGCTGCTGGCCACATCCAAGTTTCCGCTTTCGGAATGGTTGTCGCTGGTGCCGTTGCTCTTGTATGTTTTTCACCCACAATCTCTCATCTCTATCTCGAAACTAATTCATAAATAGCTCATCTAAATTCCTTAATCGAGCATCGACAGGCGTCCGGATCATTAACGATGGCGTCTTCAATTTCTTTCGATAATTTGACCTAACGACATACCCTTTTCTTTCGTGACCCAGCGACGAGATACCCTGATGTGTGATCTACACTTGTGACGCAAGTTGGATGGCTGATTTGGTTCAATTACGGAGCTGCTGGATTTTTGCAGAGGATGTGGATGATGCTTTGACATCGACTTCTCTCTTGTACATATGATACTTCATTGCAAACATATTAAATCAACAAGACTGCGTCGATTTTTGGAGTTGTGAATATTACAAATTAATAAAATAATCTTTCCATTCATTGCGAACTTCATTTGATGGTGCTTTGATTTCACTTTTTGCAGTCCCATAATTGAGGTGATTTTTTTCCCAGCTTGGCGTCTGAGGATCTTCGAAGTCCCGACGATCGCCCACAATTTCCATGCATATCCGTTTCAGATACACACAGCGGTACTCTACTTGGAGCTCTCTGAAGTCAAAATATGATAGGCTGAAGCAACCCACAACTTTCAAACGGGCAATATGTACCTACTCACATCATAACCTCGACCAAACGCATCCGCAACATACCATCGTTCCAAACAAATACCAGCAATTAATCTAGATATGCCAAAGGATTCACACTAAATCGAAGACAATAGATGCGGAAGTACTATTCTCCATGAACATTGATAGCTACCTTAGATAATCATAAGCATTGGATATCTGTACATATTTATTTGCCTTACCTAGATAGTCTCCAGTCCGCTCAAGTCAATCGCTTTGCCTTCAAGACCACCACAGCTCTCATCCGCTGCAACCATTCTCTCGTCTCTCGAGGTTTAGAATATTCATATCCCATCAAACAACATCGTAAGTACTGTGAGGTCTTCTGATCATCCATCATCTCCGCTGTCCAATCTGCTATCCACGTAGCATACATAGTCTGTAGCTTCCTTGTCGTGGAAATAAAACATGAACCTATTGCTATCTACCTTTACGATGATGCCATCAGTCATGAATGAGCCAGTTCGTAGTATATTGTTGCATTCAATCGACCTAGAAAACACTTATCCATGTATATCATATCGCAGGTATGTAGGTATATATGGAAAGATGGGAAGATATGGGAGGAAATGAAGTTACCAAATTCCCTGCACGGTCGTCACTGCCAGACCCCAGCAAAAAAAACCCCTAGCGAGCCTCGCCCAAAATTCCCGTCTCCAAAGCTAAGCTTCCTCATGCACATGTAAATCAAAGCAAAATATCTCCATCTTCTTTCCACCATACCACACTCCACACCACCAAAATGGCACAACCACTCCCCCGATTCTCGCGTCGATTTCTTCAACAATCTTCGCCCTTTCAATCTCTCCCACGAACACGCAGCTTCCGTCCTCAGTTCCATGCGAATGCCAAATCTACAAGAGGTTACTCAACAGGAGGACCTAGTAAAAGTCCATTGAAGATCTGGCCTTTTGTCGCTATTACATTGGTGGGAAGTGGTGCTTATGCGTTGATGGTTAGGAGTAGAGCTGGCACTGGTATGTATATCTCCTTGCTATTGGTTATGGATGATTGGGGTGAATGCGACTGGAAGATTGGATGGGGACAACACATGGGATTGATGCTCTTGATTGAATGGATTCGAGGGCCGCTTTAAGTTTCGGTGATGGACTCATGGTCAAACACCAAAACCACCTCATCTCATGCATTCGCTCATTGTCCATCCATCTATCCCCCCATCTGCCAAAATTCCCTTTTCCCTTTCTCACTACTTCCCGTACCATATTCAGCACAAACTCATCTCTAACATCCCAAACCACCAGACATGGCCCCTCCAACTCCCCAACTCCCTTCTCCCCCAAAACCAACCCCAACCTTCTCTCCCGAAAAAGTAACCATCCTCTTCGTTCTCGGTGGCCCAGGAGCCGGAAAAGGTACTCAATGCGCCAACCTCGTCCGAGACTACAACTTTACCCATCTCTCCGCCGGGGATCTATTACGAGCTGAGCAAGAGCGTCCCGGCTCTGAATTCGGAGAGATGATTAAAGATTACATCAAGAACGGTCTTATAGTACCCATGGAAGTAACAGTTCAACTGCTCGAAAACGCCATGACGGAAGTCATTTCCAAATCCCCCACTGGAACTGGAAAGTTCTTGATCGATGGATTTCCACGCAAATTAGATCAGGCGCATAAATTTGAAGATACAGTTTGTAAAGGAAGATACGTGTTGTTCTACGATTGCCCCGAGGCGGAAATGCAAAGAAGATTGATGGAGAGGGGAAAGACTAGCGGCAGAACAGATGACAATGCTGAGAGCATTCAGAAGCGATTCAAGGTTTTCATCGAGACGAGTATGCCGGTTGTGGATTATTTTGAAAAGCGGGGCAGAGTTATTAAACTCGACGCTACAAAGACCCCAGAGGGGGTTTATGAGGAGACTAGGAAGAAGTTGGAGGAGAAGTTGGGAAAGACATTTTGAGAAGGGTCGAGGATACACAAGTTTTGGAAGTGGGGGTTATGGAAATGGATATAGGCAGGTTGCATGGGAGGGAGTTTGATAGATATACGGGAGCAGGCAAAGAGGGTATAATCCGGAATATAGATCAGGAAAGTAAAAAAAAATACCTCGGACAGAGTATAAAAAGAGGCATACAACAACAAATAACAAACACATAATACGAATCAGGGATTGACATCCTTCAATTCTCGTTTTAATCCGATAGTTGTAGAAATCATAAACATCAGGCATGTTCAAATGCACATCTCATTCGATATGTAGATTTCTATTCTTAATCTTCTTTTCACTTCACTCCCTTTTCATGGCTTCATATCGTGGCTTCATCGTGAACATGAAAATAATGGATGTTCTCCTACACCATTACCAGATGCTAATGCGAACCATTGCATTGCCACTGTACAAACATCTAAGAACGCCGACGAAACGAGGAACCTTTTTTTGAGACCAATCCATGAATTAACAACAACTTTCAGGAGTTGATGTGCTAATCAGTACCCATCTCTACCATGTTATCACTTCTTCGTCCAGCTCTCATCCCCTGTGTACCAGAAACCTTCTTATCAGCCTCTTGGATTTCTTTCTCCTTCTGAGTTTCAGCAGCTTGTCTCTCCCTGCTGATGACCTCCTTTACGCCTCTCAAACTCTCCTTCCATTGATCCAACCTCGTGGCAACCTCACGCCATTGCTTCTCTCCAAATACACGGTACGTGGTTCTGTGAATAAGGAAAACTTGCTTCTGTTGTGATAATTTACCCTCAACCAAACCAGCTCTGATAACGTCGATAACCCACATCTCAACATCTTCAGGTGCGACTTGCAATGCTTTGGAAATGCGCTTGTATTCGAGTTCGCGGGTATGGGTCGAGGCAGCCAAACTAGCCAAGGTCAGGAGTCGCATCTTACGGTGCAACTTGCTGTTGTCCAAGTTCTCTTTCTCGACGAAACCATCGTGCTCGTCTTGGAAATCATTGTAGTCCTCAAGTTCCTTCTCGGCGAAGATTTCAAGGAGTTCAGAGTAGATTGCGTGGGAATCGCTCAAGGCTTGAACGGCGGGAAGGGAAGTAAGATCGTGGAAATCGAAATGGGTGTTGGAGAGAATCGCGGTTCTTAATGCTTTAATGGCGAGTTTCTGGGCCGATTCGGAAGCAATGGCTTTCTCATCTTTGCCGTCGAAAGTTCGGAGAGCTTTGAGAATATATTGGTATGATTCCCTAAACGTAGCAAGATTAGTAAAATATACTCGAGTCACTGAGATTGACTTCAAACGTACTCCTCCTCGCCGGAATCATCTGCCACTTCTGCGATCATTTCGAAAAGTTTTCTTTGCTCCTCCTCCTCAATCTGCCATTCAACAATCCAGGTGTCCAATTTCTTCAACTGTGGTCGCAACATTTCGTAGTTTCCACTGTTCTTAATGAGCTTAAGAACAGCTTGGAAGACATTAAATCTGGTCTCATTATCTGGTTGTAAAAGGTTGAAGATGGTTGTCAGAACATTCAGCGCGAGGCCTGGTCCATTCAAAGGTGATGAAGTAATTGGTTTTGCGAGGTTGTCGCAAATTCTAGGCAGATACATGTTGACATTTGGAGACTGGTTGCAGAGATAGACCAATAGGTTGTATGCGGCAGTAAATTCTTTCTCTGGGGATGAGTTCAACTTTTCCGAAGCAGTGACGAGTTTCTTTAAAGCTTCATCCTTTTGTTTTGCTGCGAGGAGGGGTTGAACTTCTGGGCCGATTTCGAGGTATTCGGCCAGCTCTTGTGCCAAATCCTCGAAAGTGCCATCGATGAAGACTTGCTGCGTCGCGGGCGCCATATTTGCAGAAATGATCGAAATGTGGTTGAGGCGGGGAGGTTGGGGTCTTCGATGGGGTAAAAATTACGATTCTTGAAGTTGTCGGTATCAAAATGTTCTCTTCTCTTGTGGGATGCGCTAACCGAGGGGCTAGTACGGCGATATTTTTACGACACATATCGGGATCAGCACGAACAAATGTCAATGAATTCTTGAATTCTTGAAAGAGACAAAGAATGAAACAATCATGAGATTGTACAAGATCAAGATGGGTATAAAGAGAAGAGTGAGTTGTTACAATTTTGATATCTATGCCTACTATTTGCTGCCATGTTCATTTTCATTCCGTGGCCTAGTGGCGAGGATATGAGTGAAATTCTAAGAAGTTGTTTGAAATACCTAAAATCATTGATTAATTTACAAAATTATGATAGAAAGATTCCAAATCTTTTTAGTTAATTAGGATACAATTTAAATATTGAGGGAATTGTACTTCATGAGAAGAATCCGCCATGAGTTCAAAGTTCAAAGCTCAAAGCCAATTCAAAAATTGCAGAGAACCCAAGTGGGCTTCATCAATGGCTTCCGGTGAGCTTTGTTTCTGGTGATCCTTTGGGAAATCTTATTGTGTGAGACTGCTTTCAAATGGACTTTCACGTTATTGCTTCTAATGAAGACAATATTCCAAGCTCTTCTTGGTTTGGCATTCGTAAAACTATGTTAAATTGTACAGCACGAGCGTATGTTTATGCTTCATGTCGGCGAAATCGAGCATGTCGAATTTATAGCAGAAATTTTCGAGCAATTCGTCTGGATTTGTAAACGAGTATTGAACCTTTCAATTTTCCAACTCTGCCATACCTTGTACGCCTAATATGCTACATTCTCTGCCAGAGTTGTTAGAGCTTCTTGGTGCTGTCGTGAAAGCCATTAACGAATACCTATGTTCACCAGGTTATACTGCCTTCACATATCTTCGGAAACTAAAATTCTAGAGTGTCACCAATTCGGTCTTTACTTAATCGAGATGGAATCTTAACATCATGCCCACACTGTTTTGCTCATCGACGCGTGTATTCCTAGGTCTCTTCGAATACTTTACTCAGAAAATTAGACTATCGATATTCCGTCAAGCCTGGGGGTAAATGTGCTAACTAGGTATGCAAAGATTGTTTAGGGGGTGGTTGAAATTTGAGCTTTCCATTTAACTTCTTGCGTACACATCTTTGCAGATATTAGTGACCCTTATTTCTATAACCAAATGTTTTTTTACAATATTTTACGGAGAAGTGAGATATTTGGTGCGTGAAGGACCCGTTTCTAGTCATTCCTTATTGTACATACCCAATGATAAATCAGGTGAGTACAAGGATATTTGTACAAAGTGGGCTGTGAGCTGGTTCATAGGAACAGAAGAGAAGTACTTAGTAGTTAAAATGTCTATTTGTCACCCAGATCCCCTATAAACATCAAACGCGATTTCCTCTCTCTAGACTTCACCTAAAGCTAACCACTAGTTATTTGTATTTACTTCTTCAGTTAGAGATGTCTTTCCTACTCGATAGTTCATATCAATAATTCCAAGTGGTATCAGACCTCATCAAGCGTTGACCGCGGAAAGGTCTCATTGAAAAATGTGTGATAAGGATCTATTGAGGTTTCTCAATTTCAATATTTTGTTTAACAAGGGCTTGTGTCAGGTAGCTAGAAGCGGGTTTTATCTTTAGCTTTCGCTGCAAGATGTACTTAGAGTTATCTCCAAATAGTATCTCGAACATGGATTTTGTGATGATTTATTTCCAAAGGGACAACAAAGAGTTATTAGAGTAAGTAAGGTAGTGGTTCTATTGGGAAATTTTCAACTGCTTAAATGCTTAATGATGTCATTCCGAAGAAGAGTGTATAAGCTAACAAAAATTGCTGCACTTTTTCTCTTGTCACCAATTTAACACGTATTACACCTTGTAGCCAATCGAAATGATATGCGCGCTTATGCGGCTCTTTTATGCGCTGCTTCAGCATCACACAACCCCGGAAGTTGAATAATTTGTGCGGAGACTATGCGTTTCGACCATGCATGCACTAAGCATCACAACTACCCTTTGACAGTAAATAGAGCGAGGCTCCTTTCGTGGGCCAAACTGTTGCTGACATTTCATAGGATAGAATTGCTTACTGCGTCGTGTATCATGTTGTTAGAGAAATCTATCTTGCTGCTCTATCGACCAAAGTTAGTGTCAAGACCCTCGTATCAGGTGTTAGCAAGACTAGAGAAACAGTTCCGTATCGTGTATCCATCTTTCCCGCGATATAAACTAGGTACCTCGACTGAAACTTGAGGTGTTCAGAATATTCATGTAGACATCAGATTTGATGGCAATGTTATATTGAGCACAAGAATACGGCTCCAGGATCCGCGCTCTCCTGAGGTCCAAGAGCATGTTTTCCTAGGTGAGGTTGCTACGCTGCATATCTCACTCAAGCCGAAGTGACCTCGCTCAAAAGCCTGTTGTTAGCCAAAGATCCGGCCTGTTTTCCCCGTACATTTATGGAGATCATGCGAAAGATCTGATTGCCTAGCGCTCGGTCAATCCTGAGTGGACATCCAAGATCTTGCAATGATTTGCAAATATATTTGGAGACTGAGAAACATACTCTGCCTACAACAAACTCGCTGGTTTCCTTCAATAACCCTTGATAATATTGCTGAGAATGCCAGCCGTTAAGAACTGAATGATTTGTATTCGCTGAGATTATGGAATTAAAGTTCAATTTACCGCGTATGAGTGACTTGCAAGACAATTATAATAATGGAATTGGTAATTCATGTTCGGACGGATCAGAATTTGCTTAAGCCTTTAAGAATCATAGTCTACAAGGTCAGGTAAGATAGTAAGGAATGGTCGTCAGTGGTAGCGCTTCATGTCTTCCCCTAGTATTGGGTGATAAGATAAGGTTTATTGCGCTGGTTTAGGATCTACGCGGCACTTGTTCTGATGCTATTGCATGTCTTTCAAGGAGTGAGGACTGGAAGAAACAGATCGTCACTTCTGATTCCCAATGATATGAATGTCTTCGGGGCCTTTTGGGAAAAGAAGGGAAGGTCATTGTTGATATATGAAACCGAGTGGACATAGTTGCTATGATAGAGCTTTAGCTTTCAATAG